GTCGAATGGAAACCAAAATGAAGGAGCAACAGACCTCAAGGTCGAAGCCAGTGGTTAAGTCAAGAAAGAACAGTGTATACACAGAGTGGGGGTAATAGACATGCTCATGCGAGACACAAAGGTTGGGTAGATGCCAGTTCATGAGCAATGCAACAGATAGAGGGTGTTGGGTCTGACTGGAGAAGAGGTATTTTCAAGGGTAAAGATGACAGAGGAAAGTGGTTAGTCACCAAACAAGCAAGGTCTTCAAATGGAATCAGCGATCATGGGAAGAGAAGGAGCAATCACCCTCAGAGTTCAAGGCCACAAACCAACCACCACATTTTTAAAACTGACAAGATTTTTCTTTGATTGAAACAGGAGCAGAAAGTTTTCGTTGGTTTCGGAGAAACCCTCTTTAGGGAAAAGCAAGCACCAAAACAGGTATGACGGGAAATTTTCAGGACCCTCCTGGAAAATGGGACTAGGTTTTCAAAACAATCATGAAATAGCATAATTTAGCACAAATGTATCCCAAAGAACATAGGTTGTCTAAGATATGATTCAATTAGGAATGTCAAGACCCTCCTGAATTATGGGACACAGTTTTAACACCACCTTTAGGCAACGAGATATTGTTCAGCCGTAGAATTGGCACACTTAAGATGAGACTCGAGTTTTGATTTTTCAGGACCCTCCTGGATAATGGGACGTAGCTTTAAAGTTTGTTTAGATAACAAGATATAGTGGGAGTCGTACCTTCAGTAGATATAACTTAGGTTAAAACTATCTTTTAACTAGAAGTTGTCATGACCCATCTAGATAATGGGGAGTAGTTTAAGACCTTTTAGACAACAAATGTAGTGGGGGTAATACCTCTAGAGGATAGAACTTAGGTTCATAATTATTAGAAGTTGCCAGGACCTCCCTGGATAATAGGACTTAGCTTTCAAATTCTTGTAATAGTTGGTAGAATAATTCAGTTTAACACTTACCCATGTACCCAGCTACCAAACTGGGGCAGAAAATTTTCTTTGCTTGTTTATTTCGTTGCAGTCAGGAGCCCACCTGGAGAACAAGGGAATACTTTTCAAGTTCAGCAATTAGAAGCCCACCTGGAGAACAAGGGAATACTTTTTAAGCTTCAGCAGTCAGGCGCCCACCTGGAGAACAAGGGAAGTGCAATTCAAATTTTAGCTTTTAATTTTTAATATTTGATAACATGCTGTACCCAGTTACCAAACTGGGGCAGAAATTTTCTTTGTTTGTTTATTTTGTTGCAGTCAGGAGCCCACCTGGAAAACAAGGGAATACTTTTCAAGTTTCAAACGTCAGGAGCCCGCCTAGGGAACAGTGGCATACATTTCAAGTTTTAGCAGTCAGGAGCCCGCCTGGAGAACAGAGGCACACATTTCAAGTTTTAGCAGTTAGGAGCTCGCCTGGAGAACAGAGGAATACATTCAAGTTTTAGCAGTCAAGACCCCGCCTGAAGAACAGAAGGAGTACAATTCAAGTCTTAGCTTTCAAATTCTTCTTAATATATGGTAATATGATGCCCAGCCACCAAACTGGGGCAGAAAATTTTCTTTGTTTTGTCTATGTTTGTTGAAGTCAGGAGCCCGCCTGAAGAACAGAGGAATACATTCAAGTTTTAGCAGTCAGGAGCCCGCCTGAAGAACAGAGGAATACATTTCAAGTTCAGCAGTCAGGCATCACCTGGAAAAAGGGCAAACATCTCAGATTACAATTCAAGTCAGCAACAAAAGAGGCTTGCGGAAAGAATGCGAGTCAACAGTCCGAGATGATCAGCGGAAGTTAGTCACAATCCAAAATAATAAAAGAAGAGGAGAAACAAAAAGAAAGGCAAGAAATGAATCCAAATGCAGAAATTGATGAAAGATGTGGGTTGCTCAAGACATGGCCGAGGTCACAAGCACTGCATGTCTGGTCTTGATCCGAAAATCTGAAGAAGAACGAGCTAGCACCTGCAACTAGCAAGCGTCAAGGTTCAAATCTAAAGTCTGCATGAAGAACCATTCAAGACTCAAGATCAAGCTTCAGAAGACTTATAGATAGAAATCTTGTAACTCGTAGTTGACAGGCTTAGATAGTCTTTTCATTTCTTTTGATTTTAATGTAATAGCAGGACCGCGGACCGGAACCTCGGCGGAACAGAACCTCACTCGACTCTCTCATCCTCTTCACACACTCCATCACCTCATTCATTTCTGAACTACACGTGGCCTGATTCCTTTATAGCCAAGGATATATAGGCAGCCTAGATACTAGGGCTCGGTCACATTCTCCTTCCTCTATTGGTCTCCTTAAACAAGGGTCGGGCAAAAACCTGTCTAGTCATTCTTTGTTTGAAAACTCTTCGAGTTTCCAGTCAAAGAGGGGCAGCTGTTGACATGTGATTTTTGACCCTTCCCGATATTTTACCCATTTTAGCATGTAAATATTTGGTTTAGGCCTAATATCGTCATTTCAACTAAGTTTTACTATTTTACTTTATTTTATTACAAGAAAATAAAAAATTATAAAAAAAATAGGTTTATTAATATTTTATAGTCATTTTTAATCTCAAAAAAAAAATACAAAAATAGTACCCTATCTTTATTTTTATAATTTGAAAACACAAAAAAAAATAGTTTTATGTTTTATAGTTTAGTTCAATTAATTAAAATTAGTTTTATATTTTTATATTATAATTGTACATAATTTTAGAAGAAAGAATTAGTTTTAGGTTGGTTTATCCCGTTTTTATAAATCTTATAGTCCATTTTTTTAGTCTTTGGCCCAAAATCCCTAGCCCATAGTTCCTAGGCCCATACCCCTAACCTAATCCCTACCCTATATAATACTACCTACACCACAAACACACCATATACACAAAAGCACTCCTAAAACACTCTGCAAAAAACGAATCTGCCGTTCTCGTCTTAGGAGCTAACGCTAGAGAATAAAAAGACGGCATTTTCCAGTGACTTTCAATTCCTAGACCTAACGAAGAGAACAAAAATTCTGACACTTCTAAATTTTTGGTTGATTGGCTTTAATTACTGCCGTTTCCAATTGGCATTTTCCAGTGACTTGTGCTTTGATTTTAATTCTGCTTCGTCTTTGCCTCATCTTCGCCCATCGACCACCCATGAATCTTCAACGTAGCTTCACCCATAACCCACAGCCACGACCAACGAACAGAACCAATCGCAGAAACCAAATGACCCTTTTGTTCGAGTTTCATTCACACAGACACGCAGTTCGTGATTTCCATTTGGAGGTGCGATTGCTGCGAAATCGAAGTTTCTATGGCGAGGTGTGGTTTGTTGTTCCGATCCGAGATTCTGGTTCGATTTTGCCAATTCATTTGAAGCTGTGTTGATTTCCGGTTGTAACCGTTACTCTGTTTCAGTCCATATAATTGCCGCGATTCGATTAATCAGAAAACCGTTGCTCTGTTTGTGTAAGTTTTTGGTGCCTATTTCCGTTTCATCTTTTAAATCTGGTAACTGAGATGGAATTATGGTTGAGTGTCTATTGTATGAAATCTGTTTGGTAAAATGCCTGTTAGATCTTGTGGGAGTTTATTCAATGTTAAAGTCATCATTTGAGCTTGAAAACGGGTGTCTAATACTGCTAGTTAACCATATGATTTTATTTGAGCTAATTTTGCACTTGAGAAATATGTACTGTTGCTCGAGTTCCTGCTTGTTGCTAGTTTGTTGTTTTGAAACATTTGCTTAATTTCTTGCATGAATCTTAGTACTCTGTTTAGTCCAATAAAACTTGGAAATAAAATTTGATTGGTTTATTTGATTCCACCTGTGAATTTGATTAAGGCATTTGGGCTGTAAATGATATAAGAATGAGTAAGCCCATATCAAACTTGTAGGCCAGTCTACACATGAACCAAATTTTCTTGTTCTGCTAGGCCCACGATCCATTGAGTAGTAATTAAAGTCCGGCAGACCTTTCTCTAAATAACATATCTGGCCCATCGTTCTTTTAATAAGCTAGCCCACTTTGCCACATTTAAAACACACTACCAAATCCATAATCCATGACCTCCGGATAATTAATTTTAATCCTTAGAATTCGAGGCGTGCCATTTAGAAAATTTTCATGGCCCTCGCAAAGCTAAAAACGCATAGTTGCTTTAGGCGCATTATTTTAATAATCTTACCTTCCTAAAATCGGGTGTGCATTTCATGTGACCCAAATCCAAATCCCCAAAACGTTGAATAAAATATGTTTAGGATTACGGGTGCATTTCATGTGACGCGATCCAAAGACATGTTTTAAACGACGTTCAACATTCTTTAAAAAAATTTGAATAAAAGTGGTTAATAATCTAAAATTGCACATAGGTTCAAATGTATTAAAATCAGATAATTAAGCCGAATATGACAGTTGAGCGACCGTGCTAGAACCACGGAACTCGGGAGTGCCTAACCCCTTCTCCCGGGTTAACAGAATTCCTTACCCGGATTTCAGGTTCGCGACTGTTAATACAGAGTCAAACCCTTTCCTCGATTCGGGGTTCAAACCGGTGACTTGGGACACCATAAATCTCCCAAGTGGCGACTTTGAATCTCTTAATAAAATGAATCCCGTTTCTATTGTCCTTTAATTTGAAAAACTCATTTATTATACCCTTCACAGGGTGTATTAGCAAAAAGGAGGTGTGACATCTATCATAGATGACAGTGTGCTATAGATGTAGGGCCGGTTATATGTGCCCAATATGGATGGGTTACGTGAGTTGTTTCTTCAAGAGGCCCACGATTTATGTTACTCCATTCATCCTGGTGCCGCTAAGATGTATCAGGATTTGAGGTAACACTATTGGTGAATGAGAATTAAGAAACACATAGTGAAGTATGTAGCTCGGTGCCTGAATTGATAGCAAGTGAAGTATGAGCATCAGAGGCCTGATGGGTTGTGTCAGAGACATGAGATTCTCGAGTAGCGTGTTACCATGGACTTTGTTGTGGGAGTGGAAATAGGAGTGTGTTACCATGAACATCGTTCTGGGGCTCCCTCAGACTCAAAAGAAATTTGACGTTGTATGGGTGATTATGGATAGGTTGACCAAGTCAGCTCATTTTATTCCGGTGGTGACTATCTATTCTTCAGAACAGCTGGCTCAGATCTATATCCGCAAGATTGTCCGACTTCATGGTGTTCCGATATCCATCATCTCTGACTGGGGCACGTTGTTAACATCGCACTTCTGTAGAGCCGTACATCGTGAGTTAGGCACATGGGTTGAGTTGAGTATACATTTCACACCAGACGGATGGACAGTCCAAATGCACCATTCAGATATTAAAGGATATGCTTCGTGCCTTTGTTATGGATTTCGAGGGTTTTTGGGATCAGTTCCTGCCGCTTGCGGACTTTGCCTACAACAACAACTACCAATCAAGTGTTCAGATGGCTCCTTATAAGGCCCTATATGGGAGACGGTCCGTTCTCTAGTTGGTTGGTTTGAGCCGGGAGAGGCTAAGTTATTGGGCACAAATTTGGTTCAAGATGCCTTGGAGAAGGTCAAGTTGGTCCAGGATCGGCTTCGGACAGCCCAATGCGGATCGAAAGCTTTGTGATGTTGCATTTATGGTTGGATAGAGGGTTTTTCTCTTAGTTTCACCCATGAAGGGTGTGATGAGGTTCGGGAAGAAAGGCAATTTAGGCCCTAGGTATATTAGACTTTTGAGATCCTTGAGAGAGTGGGAGAAATAGACTACATGCTTGCATTGCCACCTAGTCTATCTACAGTTTGTCCAGTGTTTCATGTCTCCATACCCCGGAAGTATCACGGTGATCCGTCCCATGTTGAGAAGCCAGTGGCCATCTTGGATAGGCAGGTCCGGAAGTTGAGGTCAAAGAACATTACTTTAGTGAAAGTTTAGGGAAGGGGGTCAACTAGTCGAGAAGGCGACTTGGGAGACCGAGCATGATATGCATAGCCATTATCCTTATCATTTCACCATATTAGGTATGTCTCCACACTCTTTAAAAAAGTTGACAGAAGTTTGAATTTCGTGTAGACGACTCCGAAATAGATTTTTTAGGGTTTTGTTACCTTCCTATGGTGACTTTGGACTTAGTCGTATGTCTGAATATTGATTTGGAGGTCTGTAGTTCGTTTTGGCTTGAATTGATGAAAGTTGGAAAGTTGAAGGTTTAGAAGATTTAGAAGTATGATCGAGAGTTGACTTTATTTATACCGGGTCCAGATTTCGGTTCCAGAAGTTGGAATAGGTATGTTGTGTCATTTGTCACTTGTGTACAAAATTTGAGGTCATTTTGAGTTGGTTTGGTATGTTTCCGCATTAGTTTTAAAAGTTGGAAGTTCATTTGTTCATTAGGCTTGAATCGATGTGCGATTCGTGGTTTTGGCGCTATTTGATGTGATTTGAGGCTTCTAGCAAGTTCGTATAATGTATTAGGACTCATTGGTATGTTCGGACAGGGTCCGGGGGGGTCCAAGTGTGTTTCGTATTGAGTTTGGACCATTTGTTAATGTATTGATATTGCTGGTTTCTGAGTTTCTAGTTTCATTAATCGTGTTTGCGAAAGGTATGTTGTGATCGCATAGAGTCCTTAGTAACTGATGGATTTTACCTTTCACGTTCGTGAAGATAGGGATGGGATCGTGATTGTTCGGCACCTTGTGCATTGCGAACACGTGCGTGGGATAATTTCACGACATCCTACGATGGGATATTTGGGATCATGACAAAAGTACTCTTGATTTCTTTGTCAGCAACAGCCTTACAATGACCTTGCTCTTCATGTTTCGGCAATATCTTTCTAGATGTTGACATCCTTGTAGTTCCTAGGTGAAAAAAGACGGAGGTCTTTGTGGCGGTTTCAACTTCCTTTAGATGTCCGAAAGCTACACGTTCACCCTTTTGACTCAGCCTTTCAAACATCGAGGCACGACATGTCGAGCCTCTAATGTGATCAAACACCGAAACCCATTGTTTTATTTTCTTGCCTTTAACTTCCTTCATCTCCTCTACCGAGGTTTGTTGTGATGAAGATATCTCTTTGCCTCTACCGAGGTATGTTGTGATGAAGCTATTTCTTTGCTTCTCTTATATAAAACATCAATTTTGACTATCTCTCCATCCTTTATGTACTTCAGATATTGATTTGAAGTAAACGATACCACTTTATTCTCATGAATCTAAGGATGTCCAAGCAGGAAGTTTATGATGTTTTATCATATATGATGTGAATCGGAGTGTTTGACTTCATCTCACCAATGGACAATCCTAGACTGATCATATTTATGGCTCGTTATCCTCCTTGGTTGAAACGTTGGATTATTAGGTTACTTCTGGACAGCTCTTCGATAGAGATCCCAAGCTTTTTAGCACCATCTTTGGCATGATATTGATAGCCGAACCATCATAACTAAGTATGAGATTAAGACGTTGTTCCCGAATAGCCCCTATAACAAACAAGGTATGTTATGTAGCTTAGACCCCAACAACAAGTCATCATCTGTGAAGAAAATTGTTGCACAATATATAACAACTTTTCTATTATCATTATGTTCTTGTGTTTTTGGTGGATCATGCTTATTGTTGCTTTCCTTTGTTTCATATGTGCTAGAAACTACATGAGTTGCACTAATATTCTGTGATAAGGCACCATTAATATTCTTCTGTGATAAGGCACCATTAATATTCTTGCTAGTAGAAGATTTGATAATCCTTGAAGGTTGCATCTTATCAACATCGCTCATTGTTGCTCTTGGCCTAGGAATTCATCACCTCAAAACTACTTGATGTTTTCGTTTCTTAAGAGTGACTAGAGTCCAATGCTCATGAGTGGTTGTCCACCTCTAATGAATCTTCGAGAATTTTTCCTTGTAAGATCAATTTCAATATGCTCGAAACTACCGAATTGTAAGAAGCAATGCTTGACATCTTCTGCGACCTTGAACACTTCTTTACCTTGGATTCGACATATGCATGGTTTGGTTCTACCGTTTCATCCATGTCTATGATGATTTTTCCCTCACTTACTTGAGCCATGAGTTTCTCCTTCTAGACGGAGCATTTCTCTGTAGGGTGTCCCATGACCTGGTGAAACTTGTAGTATTTTGGATCACCAACTTTACCAGTTTCCTCAAGCCTCTTTGGTTCAGGCTGTCACGACCCCAAAATCCCACTTAGGAATCGTGATGGCACCTAGTCTCTAAAACTAGGTAAGCCTAACACATGATGAGAATTTAATAGAAATAGCAACTAAGATATTAATTTAAAATGATAAATACCATAATAGAGCCAAAGCGGAACCACAATCATACAATACCAACACCGGTGGTACATAGTCATAAGCTCTACTAAAATACACTAAGAATATCTAGTACAATAGTGTTCGGAAACAAAAAAAACAGTAGCTTAAGATCACTAGAAGGTGACTCTGAGGCCTGCGAGCATCAATCAAGTATACCTTGAAGTCTCCGATACATCTGAATCAGCTCACTGGCGTCCAACATGGGCAGAAGTACCTAGGTCTGCACAAAAATGTGCAGAAGCATAGCATGAGTACATCACAACAGTAACAGTAAGTATCAAGCCTATCCTCGGTGGAGTAGCGACGAGGTCAGGTCAAGACACCTACTAGACATAGAAACCTGAACATAATATTAATATAATCTAATAATGGGAAGTAAAAGCAGTAAATGACAATAAAACAGAATGATAAAATAATACAAACAACTCAAGTAAAAGCGATAAATGACAATAAGGAGTGAACATATGTTAAAAACAACAAATGATCGAATACAGTCAAAATATAAGCGAAATGAATTTAAGGAAGAACAATATCCATTCAAATCAACAAGTCGTTCCAACATAGAATGTACAACAAGAACCATACTGAGGTACCACACCTCATATTCACATTTCACAAGTCACAATCACAATCTTCCTTATATCGCCGCGTGAGCCTTGCATTTATTTTATAACATTTTTCCCGAAATAGCTTCACGCGCTTTAGCCCCCTGATCTCGTCGCGTTGCTTCAAGTAATTCCCTTGCTAGCAACACGCGCATACATCCCACCTTATCTCATCGCATGCGCATCACTACACCACGCCTATACCATCGCATGTGTATCAAAATCACAACACAATAATCAACTCACACCACACGTGCCCATCTGCCACAACATTGTCAGAATCAACAATACCAATGTTACGACAACATATAGCCCACGGTTCAACTACAATGTGCATAAGAATCTCAATAACAAAAAAATAAATTGGGAGATACTTAACAATGAAGGATATCCCATAAAACAACAAGTTAATAGCTCTCAACTTTTACAACTTCAATTCAATGTATAAAAATAAACTTAACAATGAATGGTATGTCATGTAACAACAACCTCAATTAAATGCATATAAGAGCAAGCTCCACAATAAAAGGTATTACTTGTGTTAACAACTTCAACTAAGACACATAAGAGTAAACTCAACAAGAAAAGATAGAACATATAATAACAACTACAATTAAAGCATATAAGTGTAAACTCGACATTGTAAGATAGTACATGTAATAATAACTTCAACTAAAGAATATAAGAATGAACTCAACAACGAAAGATGTAACAAGTAATAACAACTTTAATTAAATGCATACGAGTAGCCTAAGAGTCAAAACCGGCAAATTTCCACATATAAGGTCGAATTCACACTCGCCACCTCGTGTACACGTCTTCCACGTAATTCAAATAGTACAATCAAAATCCAATCCTAAGGGGTAGTGCCCCACACAAAGTTAGGCAAGATACTTACGTCAATTAGGTCAAATAAACACTCAAAAAATGGCTTTTCCCTTAAAATTTTCCTCCGCACGGCTCAGATCTAACCAAAAACGACTTAATGTCATCAAACAATGCAAGAGAAACGAATTACGATTAATAAACGTACGTGGTGAAATCAGAGGGACCGATTTCCTGCCATTAAGCCATCTCGGGGAGGTACCTCGAGACCCCGAGGACATGAAGCCACGACTTAGCCCTCTCATTCGGGGCTCGTCAAAGCACGGTTCGAGGTCGAGATAAAGACAAAGAGGGGAAGCCCCCGAGACACGCGGTCGAGTCTGACAGGGCTGGCCTATCTATAGCCTACGTTGAGGTGTCGCGTCAAGCCATCACATCTCCATATTTCGTAAATTAAATATACATGTATTAGTAACTGAGTTCCCCTCCTATATAAAGGGGACTCGCCCTTCCTTGTAGGGGACTGATGTTAATCCATTTCTCCACAAGTTCAATGATATCTCTCTCTCTCTCTCTTTCTCTTCTTACTAAAAACTTGTTGGCTCCCACTGATCCGAGGATACCTCAATATCCCTCGCCTTTATATGTGCTCTCCATATTTATATGTGTTCTTCATCGTATAATTTAGTTTCGGCTATAAAGAGCTTTATTTGATCGTATCTCTAACTGTTATACTACCCTCGATTGTCCTTGATAGCCCGAGTTCGATCTCGAGGTCGACCCCGAAGCCCCCATCGACCAAACCTACATCCGGGTAGCATGCCCCTTCGTTTCGATCATTATCTCGTTCTGACTCACGCTCCATCGTTAAATTTCATATTTTTAGCATCATCTGCCCTAACAACCAGCTCGGGAATAGAACAGGTATTTTTAGAGTCCCATTTTACAAATTTAATTATCGTTACCATTTTCACGGGTAAACAGTTTGGCGCCCGCCGTGGGGCTAAAAATAATAGTGATTATTTTCTTGCTAGTTTCATTACTCAAACGCATATCATCTTTCATACTTTTTCTTGTCCAAGATCCTTTGATTACAGGTAAAAATGTCTGGCTCAGTAAACAAAGTTGAGAACGACCGTCTCGAAGATCACGGGGAAAATGGTATAACTATCCCGGCCGCCGGAGCACCACTACAGGATCCCGATAACACACCCGGACCAATACTACTGGATGCGGACTCACAGGACGCACAGCAAGTCAACGAAACTTCTCACACCGACAAAAGCGTGCGACACAGCGACCGACAGGAAGTTCAAAGTCTCCCAGCCCGGGAAGAACAGGAAGTTAGTCTTCATGTTATTTTTGAAATATTGCAGGCACAACAACTAGCCATTACTCAGTTGCAAAGCCATCCGAGGGCCCCCAATGTAGCAGCACCGGAAATAGCTTCCCCCGACGAATGCACCGCCGCTCACGCATGCACAAAGAAAAATAGCGACTTCCAAGATGACCCCGCTACAGAAACATACGCCGATGTCATCGAAGCAGCAACGGCGGAAACCGACAAGTCGGAGGCCGAACAAAGAAAGGAAGAAACACAAGAAGTCGCATCTTGCTCCCTGGTAGGACGAATGAGATCGCATCCGGTTTCAGGTGAACAGAAAACCCTGGCCTTTGCTTGGGGTCTAAACAGAGCATACCCGCCGATCCCAGGTCGTTTCAAACGACGTTTAGCCAGATACCAAGCCGAGACTTGGCCATGCATCCGTATCCAGCACCGGCTACTAATCGGGGCCATGAGTGACCATCCAAAAACCTTTGCAGAAATAGCAAACCTAAGCATGCCTTCCACGAAGAAACTAATGCCAAACGGATGGAGATACCGTCCACGCGCCGCTAATGGGAGGAACGCCTCAAGATCCAACCTACCTCGCAACGGTAGGGGAATAGTTCGAGGGCGACATCCTCGGGGAACCTCCAGCAGACAAACCTCATCCGGCAAAGTACGGGCTCAACATTGTTATGCCAAATATCCTAGTCACCATAAGCGAAACCGGGAATGCTGAGCGACTCAGGCCTACTTGAACAAGGCCCCTTCGAAAGAACCACAACCCGACGCGGAATCCGCTGGACGCAGGCGGCAGCAGGGCCGCGAATGACTCCCGTCTCAAAAATATGATAGCCGTGTTACTCAGTCAAAATCGCCGACGAGTACTATCGAACAATCAAGCCCAAATCTGGCCCCGAGGAAAGAAGACAACCGGGAAGGATGAAGCAAACAAGCCACGATGTATCACCGCGATAATGGAGGAGCGGAGACGCCCTCCGAGAACTCATAACATGGGGAGTAAAAATACCCGCCACCGGGTCAAAGATAGATCCAGGGAAATATTTCCAAGGATACTCTGGCATCCAGAGAAAAGGGCACCACGACTGCACACCAGCGTCGCACCAACACATTGGTAAACCTCTCCCTCATCCGCTTAATCTTTAATAAAACATGTGTTCATACATTCAGGAAGTTCGATCACCCACAACGGCGGTATCGAACCAAAGGTCAACAGGGCGGTTCGCATTAACGGACCAAATCTCCCGACATCCCGAATCCTTGGTGATTCCAAATGACAAATCGCCGAAAAGACCGTTATCTCAATAGCCCACCTGAGTCCGAGCCGGGACCTCGGGCTTTACACATTCAAAGGAAGCGCAAAGTATAGATGTCTTGTTCAGACGACCACCGATGCACTACCCGAAGGCGCCAACGATCCTATCTCGACAAAAGAATAAGATTCCTAACAAAGGGCAGAACTGGAATAAGCCGACAGGGATACCGAGTCCTAGAACACCGCCTAACACACCCCGCAGCAAGAAAGAACTGCTTTGCTCCTTCGTTTTCTTTTTACTAACCTGAATGCAGACAGCTGGCAAGGATATTCGGAGGTTCCCAAGACTCTACCCGGAGATTCCTAGGCCTCATATGGGCAACCGCCGTGTTTTCTCCCTTCAGCTGGGCTTCCGCCCCGAAAGAAACCTTGTCAGCAAGATTATTCGCAGAACAGCGTACCAGAAGAAGGTTCGATGATGTCACGGGCTTTATTCCGATAGCCCAACAACGAACGATGGTTTGCCTCTAAGAGCATCCCCCCCCCTCAGGAGGACCCAGATACAGCGGACTAAACTCCTATTGGGAATTATAAGCTGGTCCAAAACGATCCGAGAAGCCGTGCATGCACGGGTCGAGTTCACAATGACGAAATAATGTACATCTACACCAAGCAATAAAAGGATATTTTCTCAGCATTTTATTCTTCGGACAAAGAAATCTCAAATGTATCCCCAGCAGGGGCCCCCTCCACCGAATACATTCCAAAATACCCGGAGACGTAATGCCTACCACTAGGCACTTATGCGATCTCAGGATCGGAACTCCGGGCTCATAAATCCCCTACAAGGCAACTCCGAGCTCACAAGTAGCGGTCTTCACGCTAAGACAACATGATGACTCGGAGGCTGTCGTCAGTCGCCATACGCTGGAAAATCCAAAACCGTAAGACCCTTAGCTGGCAGACTCGGCATAACCAGGTCCATTCTACATCACCCAAGAACTGTAAGACCTCAATATGCATGACAAACTGTAAGACCTTAATAGGCATGACAAAACTGTAAGACCTCAACAGGCATGAGAATCCCAAAGTGTAGGCTATACTTCGTATTTGTAAGAATCCCGAAAGGGCATACCCTTGATGTAGACGCCTATACTGTCACTCGGGATCAAAAATGGCTACGGCCAAACACACATGATTACGATCAAAATGGCTGATACAACAAAAATAACGCGACTCGGGGACGCCTGACCATCGCTAAACAAAAATCGCAGGCCACTACTTCGAATATACTTCGGAAAGAACCGGTTAAAATAGGCTTCCATCAAACAGGCAAAAAACGGGCTATGAACCTTCCGAGGTGCTCGAAATATTGCCGATAACGACTTGAAATCGAGTTTCTTCCAGAGCCGACGATGGGTCAAGCAAAAATCTTTCAAAAGACCTTAACGAGCGGAAAATAAGCCTACTAAAAGCCCACGGGCAAAAACAGCGTGAGAGCCATTGTCGCCAGCTAAGCAAGCCTACGAGCCATATATCAGAAGGTCTCTACGACCAAAAAGCGTAAGAGCCATTGTCCCCAGCCTAATTAACAACTTGAGGATTAAAGTGAGCTCGAATCGTAACCCGTTTCGGAGACCGGATCCAAAATAGTTAACAAAACAAGCCTACGGGCCACATACGAAAAGTTCTCAACGACCAAAACAGCATGCAAAGTACTACCCCCATTCAGGAAATCGAAGGCGCTTAAAGGTCAATTACAGCTCAAACCGCAAAGAGGCTCAAAGACTGGACCCGCAATAAGCACAAAGCTACAGCATGCCTAAAGGCACGGCACAAACGCCACAATCGCCAGCCGAGAGAACCTCCGGGTCGCCCGCTTATAAGGTCACTTCGACCCGAGGCAAAGAAGGCTACCATCACCCGCCCTTGCAGGCAGGGAAGAGCTTAAAGGTCAATTACAGCTCGAATTGCAAAACAACTCGGAGACTTGACCTAAACGCCGGACAAAGCGCAGGGACCGCAACGCTTGCTCATGTCGAGAACCATACCTAGGAGCCCCGGGCTAAGCCCGATTGATCCCGAACCTACGAGGATCCCGCCAAACATTGAAGCCGACCTGTTTGAAGGCAATAACAAAAAGAGATGCGGAAGAAGTAAGGCTTCAAAGTCTCTTCTTATTTCACGCACACAGAGGGAAAAAGGGGGAGGGGACACACCCTCCATTAATAGACATGTTCTACATATATAAACAATGGAGCAACAAAATGGCACAATCTGCGATCCAGTCCGAAGGGCTACAGCTTGCTGGGTTCACTCCCCGTCCCGTCAGCAAGAAATGACCACGCGTCACGCTCATCCGCCCTTGCTCGATTCAATTCATCAGAAAGAATAAAGCCCTTTGTGCCAATCTCCTCGAGTGCTTCTCTCCGGGATCTGCAACGGACATATTCCTCGATCCTTTTCTCCCGGTCGAGGGCTCGCTTCAGCTCGGCCTGAGCATCAACGGCATCCTTCATATGGATCGCCATCTCCTGATCAGCATTGGTTCGGCATAGCATCACCTTAGCCCGAGTGTGAATTATCTCGGCCCTGGTCTTCGAAAGTTTGGATTCTAATTTCTCGATCACATCTGCTTGGATTTTGGCATTATCTCGAGCCAAGCAAAGTTGGACTTCTAAGGCAGGAACCTTGGCCAAGGCACTTGCCTCCTCTAAAACATGAGCTTGCACCTGAGCCCTTAGCTCGCCACAAATATTTCTAGCGCGATCAATATCGCCCTGAAGGTACTCCATGGCCTCCGCCTTTTTCTGCAGCTGATATAACGAAGAAGGGCGTTAACTTAAAAGGGCCGAAGAAAGCGAAGCTTGAGCTGCATAAAGTTACATGCTCCATCAAATAACTCTCATAATTCGAGCATCGGTACGCTTCACATCGCCAATGCAGCAACTCGCCCTCCTTCTCCTCGCTAAGCAATCTAAGAGATTCTCCCTCACCCCGAACTTTCTGGAACTTGGCCCCTTAACGGACCAGCTTAGACATCAGCCTGTCACAAGCCTGCACAAGGAAAACTCAATGACGAATGAAGGACGCACAATACAGGGAAACTGCGCCTAAACTCACCACGAAGTGAAGCCGGCAGACTTCTTCGAAGTCAGAGCATACTCCTGTTGATCCTGTCCCTTCGCCCCTGGGAGAATCGGACTCGGGCAAAACATATCCGCTCGAAGGCATCGACGACCTAGAATCAGGTACTCCGGGGCCGCGGACTCAGACAATGCCTTCTCCTTGGAGACACTGGCCTGGTCAGCACCACTAGGAGCTCCATCGCCTCGAGGGGCGAGAAGGAGATCAACGACTCCTTCCCCTCTTCGGAAGGGCACTGTCTCATCCCGAGGAACTGCCCGATGCCTGCAAACAGCAAATCCAATGCAAGTAAAAAAGGGGAAATATTACCTCAAGTATATGAAGGCCAAGGCAAAAGCAACATGCGCACGTACCTTGATATTTCGCTCCCCACCTTACACGAAGCACAGCTCGCCATCGACGCTCGTCGTAGGACGAGTGGGTCACCAACCTCCGGACCCAGCCAGGCCGATCGGAGACTTCACCCGACGTCCAAGAAGTTGCTACAACAGGGTAAAAACACTATTATTTAACTAACTTCCGCTATAGGTACAACCTGAAAAAGCACCAGACGCTCCACTCACGTGCGTAATTCTACCCTTCGGGGAACGGCAAAAGCTCCACGGGGATAATATCGATCGTCCGTACCCGGACGAACCAACCGGCCCACACTTGAACCCCCTCCTCTTCGTCATCGACAACTAAGGGTATGGACGAACGTCACTTCAGGGTTAGCAGGCCCTGGTGATGAAAGGGCTGATACAGCCGGATGAGGTGATCAAGCGTAAATTCAAGATAGGCTTTCTCTGCAAAGAACCTCATCATCAGCACCACCCGCCAAAACGACGGATGTATCTGCGCCAAAGTAACCCGATACTTCAAGCAAAAATCAAGCATGACCCTGTCGAGGGGGCCAAATGCGAAAGGATACAAGTATACACTCAAAAATCCATCAGCGGAATCCGTAACGTTCTCTCCCAAAGGAAGCACCTGCAGCGCTACCCCCTCACTCCATCCGCAGTATTTTCTTACCATCTCCAAATACCCTCCTTATCAAAGAAACAGTCTTCAGGACAAAATCCCTCAGCTCCCGAGCGCCAGGAACAGCGCTCTCCGTTCTATGCCATGCCGTCCCCGAAGTGGTTGCCATGACTATGGTAAAACTAAATAGAGCAAAGCAAGGGCGCGCACCAACACCTTTTGCACCTAGGGAAATGAGGAACCCTATACCGAAGCGAGAGTGCAGCTACCTAAAAATAGTAAAGCCCTGCAAAGAAGCCGAGGCTGCCCCACTTATTTGCTAAGCAGAGGCAACGTTTCGCGTACTCGGAGTAAGC